GATAAAAGATAAAAAAAAAATAAAAAAAATAAAAAAGAGGGAAAAAAAATTATATGTAAAAAAAGGTTAACAATAGCAGTGAATAACCAGGCCTCCGAGAGTGTCAATGTACCGGGACGAAGTCGCTGTTAGTGGGAAGCATGGTCGGTTACGTTAGCCCGGAGAGAGGGAAACTCTGGAGAAAGTGGTAGATAGTGGTGGCAGTTGGTGGTAGTGGCAGTGAGTAGGAGGAATTAAGGTCACCGTCGGTTGGCGGCAAAGATTGGTTCACCCAAACCAACCAGTACGTAGCGTGATATCATGGGGGAAGGGAAAAGCTTATGAGAGGGCACATCCAAGAGAGCAAGGAAAGGAGGTTTAAAATAATATATTTACATTTTAGAGAGAGAGAGAAAAAAAAAAAAGGGACACTCACCTTCATCAGTGGTAGAAAAAATTAAAATTAAAATTCCTATCAGTATTTGGGGTTTATTTTTGGCATTCGATCTTGTTGTCAAAGTTCCCTGTGGCAATCCAATTTTTGATTGATTGAATTTGTTTGTTTTACACTAACAGCGTGTATAGTAAAATACTGAGAGCTGCAGATCAACTCTCGCGCTCACGCTCTCTCTCAACACCTCCCCGTACTATCTGACCTTCAATTTGAAAAGTGGCCAGTGGTGGACTAGACACTTGGCGGTCAAATTTCTCGGGGAGAAAATTAATAGTAACAGGAAAACAATATAGATATATGAAATGTAAAATTTCAAGGTTTGAAAACAGGAGAGAGTGAGAGAGAGAAAGAGTAAAAGTATGAGAAGGGCAAGAGGCGGTGTTGAACCTCTCAAGGACCGAGCAGGTGAAGACAAGAAATTGCCAGAGGTATAAGAGGCCGTAATAAGACCTTGCTTCTATGGGGTTCAAGAGTGAGGGCCAGACGGCAGAGGACGAAAGAGAAAGAGAAAGAGAAAGAGGGGAAACCGCCCACACAATGAGAACTCTACGCCTCCATCACGGAGATACTCCTGTTATACAAAAAGAGGAAGAGAACCTTAAACCCGCCACATACCACTAATGAACAATTCTATATTCATAACTATGAATAAATGTATATGCCAGGATACTTATTAAGGTCAACCCTTGAGGATTCGAGCTCTCTTAAGTGCGTACTGCATACATACTTAGGAGCACTACTCCGTACGTAGTGTAGTATAGAGTAATGAGATGGGAATCGTGCCCTGGGTAATAATGATAGCCAGTTATTATTATTTTCTACGGTATGGATAAGGATAAGTAATATGATGACGATATTAGGAAATGGTGAAGGGTACCAAGACCCATCACTCGACCAAAACTCATACCACCAAATGCCCCCTAACAAAAGTAATCATCGTGTAATCAATGCACTTGTAGACCTCTCCCGGAATTTTTTTTTTTTTTTTTTCCTTTCCCCCTTGAGAAAACGTCCCCACCATATCATACCATGAAAACTGCCATGGCGTTTTTCTTTTCAAGGAGGTCAATCTTCAAGAGAGATCTACATGATAACGACCTATGGAACGAGGGAAGAGAAACAGAAGAAAAGAAAGAAAGGAGGAAAGAGAGAAGAAAAGGTTACTGTTTGCCTTGACTTTTTGCCAATGATAAACTGAGCAGAACTTGGAAGTCGAACAAATACACTATTGATGTGGGCTTACTCTCACCTTCGTCTTCATCTTGTCGTGATGGCCACGATGTAGAATTATGATTCGACCGACTATCAGGATGGAGACTCCGCAACTGTGCCACTTTGAAGTGGATTCCAGGAATGGCAACACATCGGCGTCGAATCACCACCGAATGCGGCGAAAACGATAGCCCAATTGATTGAGGCCGCAACTCTTACTGGTCTAAAGTAAGTAATATGGTTTTCTATCTGACAAGAGGCGCAATGCTGGAAGCCTGGACCATGACCAAGAATATCTTGTATGGTTGATGGTGGAATCAATACGAACCTCCAAACGGATGTCCACCTGTCGAGTGGACCTGGGCAGGGCTAGCAGCCCGTCCCTATCTCCGAAAGTATGCCGATAAACCTAGGCGGATTGACTTCCCTCAGGGAGTCAGGGACAGGTAAGCTAACCAGCAAACTAATGGTAATCATCGCAGGGGTCTGTTTCACCAGCCTTCCTGACAGGACAGGCTCAACTTAGTTATTTATGTTGGGATAGACAGAATAGGAGAAGGTCGATCTGATAGAGAACCATTGCCTCTTATCGTTTGAATCATGTCAGCAGAGGTTAACTGACGTGACACTACACAGGAGATGATGTCTTACAGGCTGGCTGCCCTACCACCACCAGGCAGGATCGTACGTGGTAATTAGTGGCAGTCAGGTGGTGTCGGTCTGCAGGCCATTGCGCTATGGATTTGGGGCTCAACATCTATTAGCTTGTAGGCGCTAGACTCACTTCCTGGTCCGTGTGGGTTTCCTATCCACTTTCTTCTGGGCGCCTGCGATTGCAGTCTTCTCTCGAATGGACAAAGAAGCGAATAGTAGATACCCTCTGAGGGTGAGATCTGAAAGCCGAAAAAAAAATATCGTTCTATTTCAAAACTATTTCCGGGAAATAAATGCTGTTGATTTATAATTGCTTAGAGTACTTAAACAGGGGAATTAAATAAATTAGTACCTTGAGGGCTAACGTAGGTACAATACACAATGTGGATCTTAGGATGAAACTAAAGGGAACCATGATAGCCACATGGACGGTGTGGTGTACAGGGCAATCGTTTTTCTTTTTTTCTTTTTTCTCACTTTTTTTATTGGTTTGATTTCTCACGACTGAAGCAGGCGAAACAAGTAATACGGCGAATTTACATAGGGTGAGTGATATATGTAAGACTCCTCAGCCCATGTTCGACAGATGCAGGAACAAACGGCGACAAGACCAGGCTGTTCCATCCATGATCACACCAATGCACATGCACGAGAGCTGTGTATGGAGTAAGCACTTATCTGACCCCCATGCAGTGGAACATGTCTCGGTATTTCTAGAAAGATACTCTGTATTCTGGATGCATTCTCGAGCCCACTGAGACTCACCGACAACCGGAGTCATGCAGCTGGGCTTTTCCAGTAGTGGAAAACCAATCCCCTCCCCCCGCATGAACGCAAGGGCTGAGGACTTTTGACCGGTTGGAGCCAATGAGCGGTGTCTGGCGGCTCATCCCGAGAGAATGCTACAAGCAACTGACTCGTGTCGTCAGCGACTCCTGACTCGGTTTCCGATCACGTTGGTGCTGTACGTAATGGTGCCATTCCGTCGTTGGGGGCCGTCCGCCGGATCAACCGTTGATCCAGTCCAAGTCACATGACAGAGTATATACAACATCACATGATTCTAATAGGCCTCAGGCTGCGATCTGATATCGGCGTGACCGCCTGCATCATAGCTTATCACGAGGACTGACCGTATGCTGCTGCTGCTTGTCAACCTCTCCCCTACCCTAACAGTCAACACTGCCCTTCCTGTTCACTCGGCTTTCATATCACTTTTCAGTCTAGCACATAAGGCTTCATTAGTTCTCTGCTGAATATATCTTGTTTTACTCTACTAATACAACTGAATCCTTTGGTTGCGCCTAGCTCCCACTCGTACCTTAAGCGGACCGCCGCGGACTATCTACCTCGATGAATGGCCCTTAGCTGACTCTTGTATTCTTGTTTAAGGGTGGCTATGATGCACTGCTGCTTAGGCAGCCCACACTGATGTGATTCGATTAACATTGCAAGATCTTTAGCCCATGATGATGACATCAAACATATTATCCCGTTTCCTTCCTCCGAACGGCTCGCCATCGGTGTACGAAACGCTTCGGCGACAGGACGCGGAATCGAATCCTTCGGATGTTGAGGAACGTGCAGGATTAGAATTCGAAGATGATCGGAGGACTCAATTTAGTGACCGTGAGTTGGAGGAGGCCATGGTACACGCTGCGAGAGACGGCATACAGAGCCCTAGTCCGAGCCCGAGCGAGCCGTTCCTGACTCAACGGAGCCCACAAAGAACCTCCGGCACAGCAACAGCTAAATCTGGTTCCCGGCGGCGGAAACACAGCCGTCCTCGGTGGATGCACCAGGACCCCGACGACGGTGATGATGATGTGCCTCCCTCCCTCCTAGTAGAAGGACACCAGGATGACGACGAGATGAAGTCCCGACTGCCCCCCCTCCTCCTTCTCATCACCACCCGCAGCGAGAACATTCTCCTGCCCCTGGTCCTTCATCGCGTGCAGATCAGGCTCGTTGGAACACAACAAGGGAACAGCTGCCGCTCCACAATGATCGCAGGGGGCAACGTCCCGGGGCAATCTGGTCGCTGGGACATCCCAACCTGGCCACAGTAGATCCCAAAGAGAAAGCCATGTGGCTGTGGGCAAACGTGGAGAACCTGGACAATTTTCTGAAGGATGTTTATACGTACTTCTTAGGGAATGGGATATGGTCAATACTGCTGAATCGAGGTTTAAGCCTCTTGTACGCCCTTACCTGAGTTCACCCTTTGCTCTTATATGGTTACCTCCGCTGACAGATGACCTAAACAAATTGTAGGACATTTGCTTTCGTTGTGGGATTTAGTACCTTTCTCACCAACTGCATCGATTATCGCAACTTTCGAGGAAGTAGAAAAATGGATGACATACTCATTCAACAGTGCACTAAGAAGATGTCTATGTCCTCTACCTTCTTACTCTGGTTGTTGACTGTTTTCTGGATTGGAAAGGCCTTTCAGTACTTGATGGATATCAGAAGGCTGAAGCACATGCATGACTTTTACCACTATTTGCTCGGAATCTCTGACAGTGAGATCCAAACGATCTCCTGGCAGGAGGTTGTGAGCCGGCTGATGACTCTTAGAGATGCGAACCCTGCCACTGCTGGGGCAGTTTCTGCCAGGCATCGCAAGTTCATGGGGAGCCAGTCCAAGCAGAGGATGGATGCTCACGATATCGCAAACCGATTGATGCGTAAGGAGAATTACTTGATTGCTCTGGTGAACAAAGACATACTAGATTTGACTCTCCCAATACCGTTCCTCCGAAACAGGCAACTATTTTCGCAGACGCTAGAATGGAACATCAATCTCTGCATTATGGACTATGTTTTTAATGACCAGGGCCAAGTGCGAACCTTGTTCCTGAAGGACACACACCGGAAAGCCTTGAGTGAGGGCCTGCGGCGGCGATTCATCTTCGCAGGTATCATGAATATCTTCGTAGCCCCCTTTATTGTCGTTTACTTCTTGATGCATTATTTTTTCCGCTACTTTAACGAGTACAAGAAGAACCCAGCCCAGATTGGATCCCGGCAGTATACCCCTTTAGCCGAATGGAAGTTTCGCGAGTTCAACGAACTCTGGCATCTGTTTGAGCGCCGTGTCAACATGTCGTATCCTTTTGCTGGTCGTTATGTGGACCAATTTCCCAAGGATAAGACTGTCCAGATTGCTGGCTTTGTGGCGTTCGTTTCCGGCGCCCTGGCGTCCGTATTGGCCCTGGTATCCGTCATAGACCCAGAACTTTTCCTGGGCTTTGAAATCACACATGACCGGACTGTCCTTTTCTACCTGGGTGTTTTTGGCTCTGTATGGGCTTTTGCACGAGGGTTAGTTCCGGAAGAAACAAATGTGTTCGATCCCGAATTCGCACTTCTTGAAGTGATTGACTTCACCCACTATTTCCCGAATCATTGGAAAGGGCGGTTGCATAGTGACGAAGTTCGGAAGGAGTTTGCTATGCTTTACCAGATGAAGATCGTTATCTTCTTGGAAGAGATCCTGAGCATGATCTTCACCCCGTTTATTCTCTGGTTCAGCCTGCCTAAATGTAGTGATCGTCTTATCGACTTCTTCCGGGAGTTCACCGTGCATGTGGATGGCATGGGATATCTCTGCTCATTTGCCGTATTTGATTTCAAGAAAGGCACCAACGTCATAAGTCAAGGCGATACGAGACGACGAGAGAGTGGGAGGCAGGACCTGCGGGCGGACTACTTCTCGACCAAGGATGGCAAAATGCTCGCATCTTACTATGGGTTTTTAGATAACTATGGTGGGAATCGCCCTGCGAACCCACCCAGTCGCCGCCAGTTCCACCCTCCACCTGCCTTTCCAACGCTGGGGTCACCATCTGCTGTTGAAATGGGTAATATCGGCGAGCGGCTGGAGCGAACCCAAACACGTCATGGTCCAGCAGCTGCTTTTATGGGGCAACAGTCGGGCTTGGGCCCTGGCTTTGGAGCTGCAGGCTTTGCCGATCATGCGTCGCCCGCACCATCTATCCTCCTTGACCCGCGTCACCAGCCGATGGGGTCAGAGTTCCGGACGGCAAATCGATCTGTCCATTATCCACGGTTTAGGTCATCGCGTCCAGTGCGACCCATGACTGACCCAATTGAGGACGACAATGAATCAACCTCTGCGGAGATCCGTCGTGCTGCTGTTAAGAAATCACCCCAGACGGGATCCAGCGGTGGGGCTATCGGCACCAGTGATAGCAACCTGGGAGAGTCCTGGCGGATGAATCTGATGGGGGATGAAAATGACAAGGACTCAGGCGAGGACGGAGAGGACGTCGAAGAGATTGCTGGGAACGCAGGGGTCTTAGGGCTTATCCAGCAATTTCAAAAAGTCAGCAAAGATAACCGCGGACGCACCACAGTTGGGATATAGGGGTGGATGGTTTTGTCACCCCCTAAACCTCTTCATTGGCATGAAAAGGATTTGTGACTGCCTCTTTTCACACGACCGGCATGGAAGCTCTGAGGTATTCACGACTTATACAAGCGCGCGCTTATATTGTGTATACACATTCAGCCCAGTTTTATCTCCCCGTGGCACTGTGGAGTAAATAATGGCTTATAAGCCCTAGATTACTATTCGGGATGTCCCTATCTTGGTATCAACTATAGAGTTATTCAATGATTGGTTGCTATCTGTTATGATGTCTCACGCATGCAGAACTCCATTAATCATAGTAGTTGCGAACACTTTGGCTTAGGAAATCGAGGAAGGAGAAAAAACAAAAGAAGGTATGAAGCCTCAAATTCCTTTGCTGTGAAATCACTTTGGCCAGAGATTTGACCTCTCGAACCGGCAATAACATCAAATGTGCCCTTATCTGGTGGGTTGTCTGCTCGGAGCTTGACTAGCAACTGGGGACAAGAGGGCTGCATGGTCCATTATCTTGTGGATATGGGAAATGATTTCGGGTCCCTGTCCTTCGAGCCAGCTCAGGGTGTGTGTGGATACCTTTACTGAATTAGAGATGCCCCCGTTGAACAAGCATGAAATAGCCCTCTTACCTTTCCTTCCCTGTCAAGTCTTATGAACGCCCAGTCGAAACTATCTGTTGAAATGCCATAGATGTCCGTGTTTTGTCTCCCGGTCTGCTTTCTGATGTGATGCAACATCCCTGCAATAACACGTAAGTATACTATCTAGGGATGATTCCGATTTTGATGGCCTTACCCATATAGCACAAGCATCGGTATCTCCCGTCATTCCCACGCCGCTTGGTTTCGACAACGACTAGATTTGACTGAGGGTTTGTGGGATCTCCGTACCACAGAGAGTAGTCGGTTTTTCCGCTGATCATGCAGATTTCATCCCTATACGGCCACCGTAGCTTCATGTGGCGTTCAAATTGCCAATGCAACGATTTGAATGACTCAACAGAGGAAGTCGAGGCGCGTTTTCTGCTGCTCTTTTCGAGGCCGTGCTGGCCTAACTCCTCACGCTTCTTGCGAGCGAGGGTTGTCAATAGGACCGCATCGACTCGGGCTCGTATAAATGCCTCATTCTGAGGCGATTCCCCCAATGCCAGGTCATAGTCTACGAGAATAGACCCTATTTATATTAGCTATAATCGAAGTGTATCGGGTTTGTATTACTCACTTAGATAGTCTGGGACTGGGCGTCTTTCCTCAGGACGAAGGTGCCAAATTTGCCTGTGGTTTGTGCTGCGTTTTAGTTTAAACGTTCTTTCAACATCTTCGGCGGGGATTTGGGTTACTGCGAGTGATGGAATACCCTGGCTTGTGGCTTCGTGGCTCTCTTTTCGTGCCATAAGGAATGCCGCATCGAGTTCCTCATCGAGCTCCTCCTGGAGTCTCTTGTCTTTCACCCTTGTAGTAAGGGCTTTCACTTTCTTCTCAAGCTTGTTGAGCCACTCCAGTTTGACTGTACCAAACTCTAATATTGTCAGATAAGTTCTGAAAACTAAAAGTGGTGAGAATTTAAGGTGAGAATTTAAGGTGAGAGTAAGGTGAGGGTAAAACAAGAATACAGTACAGTAGAGTGAGCGTTGGAGGCAAGGGTTGACACTATCAAGAGATGTAGAGTAGAAAGGCTATGTTGGTTATGAAAGGTAGTATGGCTTGAGAACAAGAAAATCAGAGAAGTTGTTTGCAGAACTTACTGGGAGTGGTATCTTCAGTGTTACTATCTGAACCGATGTCTGAGTAGATGTCTGACTCTGTCTCGATATCGTAGATTGTTTTTGTATCCAGGTCTGTGTTGTTGAGTGCAAATTTTGGTTGGATCAGAATCGATGGAATCCACCTTGACTCAAAGCCATGTAATAGTTCCAGAGTGACTCCTTTCTTCAAGATCTTGTAGAGTTGGCTGACAATAGCTTTCGGTTGGTCATTGATCCAATTCAAACTCAGTGAAGAATACTTTTTCAATCGATAGGTTAGCCTACTGTAGTATATTCAGGGGAAATCGATATGGAGAGTGAATACCTGATTCTTCGTGTCCAGGTGCAGAAACACCCATTGAAATCCGTCTGTGATTATTCCATATGTTTCCTGGTTGTCAGAATCAGTTTTGTCTCGATTGTGTTGGATCAATGCTGTTAATGTTTGGTCAATAAATGGTGAATTTTAACATTAACGAGAACTCTGGGCTTACACATGGCTGCAAGGACGGATAAGCACTGATACTTATCCACCGGCTTTTCTGCACGAATCACTATGAAGTTGGTCTCCAAATAGGATGGCTCTCCGTACCAGAATACGTAGTCTGCTACGCATTCCAGGATTTTGCCTTTGCTCTGAGAGGTGTCTGGTAGGCATATATGGTGTTCGTAGGCCCAGGAAACCGTCTTTAATTTGTCCGAGACATTCTCCACATTGAATGGTGGGCATGAGTACATATTGATACTCTTCTCTACCATGGTCTTTGTCAGAGCCAGTGCATGATGCAGGATGGCATCGACGCGTGGCCGGGTTGAGGTAACAAATGGAGATCCAGCACCAAATGCTAGATTGTAATCATCCAGCAAAGAGACTAACCAAGTCGGTAGCTCATATGTTAAGAGAGGTGGGCGAACATGCCACAGGCTCTGATTGCTTGCACTGGGATTATCGGTGATTCCACAATACTCGAAGAAGCAGTCATCGGAGACAAAAGATGAAGAGGGTTCCATCCTCAAGTCTATCTTGAATCTCCACGATGCTGAATGGTTTATGTGTTCGGGTTGACCTTATACACAATGTATGAGAGATAGTAACAACTTGATTGTTGCGAAGACTCATGCGTGTTCGTCAAATTAAGTGCGAATCGAAGGACGATCAGGTAGACGCAAGAAGATGAGGTGAAAGTTCGATTCTGATTAACTTATCGTGTCATATTTGCGCCGATCTGACGTTATGGGCTGGTAATCATATCCTATCTTTCTCTGGAGCAGAACTTGCCTACGCTGGACGTTAGCTTTATATAGTATGTACTCCATATCTATCTCTACAACTCACTTGATATTATCAGAATATCAATGGCATTAGAAACAGCCCAGCGCTATATAAACTATTCTTTCAACAGAACTA